AAAAAAAAAAAAAAAAAAAAAAAAAAAAAGAAAAAAACTAAAAGTAATTCCACCTAAGCAATAGTACCAAGGCTAGCTAAAAAAGCTTCAAGATTTATTAAATTGGTGAAAAACAAAAGGATTATACTTTGGTTGTTGGTTGCTGTCGTACAACATGGGAATTACGAAAAATTGTCTCAACGGCGAATTCGACATTTAAAATAATCTTGTTTGGTTTCGACTGGACCGAGCTATCAGTCATCGGAAAAAGAAAAAAAAACATGTTCGAGTATTTGGTTCCTAAAATTGTGTCAAAGGGTCAAAATTTGGATAATGTGGACGATTCAAGTGGATTCAGTAAACTGTTCATGTCATTGTCTTCTACCTTCCGTATAATAATATTGCAAACAAGAGATTAAGATTAATTATCAAAGCATTTAGTTTCGGGGTCAAAACTTATGGGTTCTGGGTCCAAACTTACTAGAATAGTCAACTTATTGGGAGCATGTTTCAGAGCTTTCTAGAACCGGTTCTCTTCATTAAAGTTACTTCTCTAGTCTCCATAAAGCTATAGAAACAACCTTGTTAACTAACTTGAAACGTGTAAGAAAAATTTGGTGGATTTCAGCAAAACAGTAAAATTCTTACCCTATTATTCTTCTCCAAAATTTGTTCGATATGGTCGTTATCAGTCATCGACTTCTTGCATCTCTGTTACCCACAATGGAGGCTAGAACTCGACTCATCTTGGCTCATTTGTCCACTACATAAGTTGTTTTGTCGGGAACAAAGTGTACAAATTTAGTTAACTTGTCCACAATCATCTAAATGATTGTATACCCTTTTTTGATTTTAGATAACCTTAAACTAAAATTTGTTGCCACATCTTTACATTTACACTGGGGCATTTTTAGGGCTATAATATGCTTGAGAGCTTCTACCTCGAGATCTTTACGATTAGAATTAAGAACCAACAAGAAAATTTTAGTGTTGTTATTCTATTCTAACACGTTCAATATTTTTAAAGGAGGACAAATACTTGCACTTCTTAAAAACAGGTATTCGAATTAAGCTGGAACAACATGAAGGGAACTCCGTTTAGTGATTATTAAACTTGAGGAGAAAATTTTAGGACCCGAGCTCTCTTTAAAACTGAAGCTAGTTGCATTTTTTAAGACCTCCACGTCTAGATTTCTACCGAGGTCAAAGCCAACATGAGAAGTCGGAGTCAACCACAATTCCTTGATTTGAGGGGTCTATCTTCTTAAGATATGTTAATAACAAATACCTTACCCATTGGTCTAAGCTCGGGACAGGGAAAAAAGCTCAAAGCATCAAAATCTTGTCTTTCTCCCATATACCTTATTTAAAAAAGGGTATCAGACTCTCGATCGAATGCAACTGCACCTATCCCTACTTTCTTCAGAGCGATAAGATTGGGATGCAAAAATTCTATGTCCTTGTAAATACTATACTTGTGAACGGATAGTTGGTAACAGAAAAATCTTGGATCGAGAAGCTCTAATAAGGAGTGCGGTGCTTCGAGCGGAGGGAATAATTATTATTATTTTTTTTTTTTAATGAACAAATGATTAAAAAAGATTAATAATGAATTAAAAAGGGAAGAGAAATGGATGGGAAATTTGGAAGGGCGCATTTCATTTGCATTGGAGTTTCATTTTGAAGGTCTCCTTCTCCCATCTGGCAAATCTCCCTTTTCTCTCTTTCAATTTTCCCCAACACATAAATACAATTTCTATTTCGATTTTACGGTTCTAGCTCAATCTCAAACCACCCACGCACATGATCCCACCAACGATCTGCGTTCTTCTTCCTCGATTCCCTGTTTGAAACCTAGCTACAGCAATTCGCTGCCATTGATTCTCATGCTTTTTCAATCCGATTGAGCAACCTACGGATTCTGACTCTCTCCCTCTGTGTGGAGAGATCGGTAGCTTCTCGATCGCACGCGGATCTGAACAGTTCCAAACACGATGCCGTCTCACGCGGATCTGGACCGTCAGATCGAGCATCTGATGGAGTGTAAGCCTCTCTCCGAGGCCGACGTTAAGACGCTTTGTGATCAGGCAAGGACGATATTGGTCGAGGAATGGAACGTTCAGCCGGTCAAGTGCCCGGTCACCGTTTGTGGTGATATTCACGGCCAGTTTTATGATCTTGTCGAACTGTTTCGGATAGGAGGGAATGCTCCTGACACTAATTATCTCTTCATGGGTGATTATGTGGGTGAGTTTTTTTTTTTTTTTTTTGACACTGAATGTGGTTATTACCTCTCTTCACGAAGTGTTTGATTTCAACTTGATGCTAAGTTTTCCATGAAAACGCTTCTATTGAATTATTGGTATTGCTATTACTTTTTGGTATCTTATATGCTCGCTAAGTTTTGTATCCATGCTCTGGATATTAGGCTTATTATATTGAGTTTTAGAATTAATAATTTTATTCTGCTTCCTAATCTATTTTATGCTTGCGGAGGTTTAGTTAAGCAACATAGATGGTTGATTTTGGGCTTTAGTTTGGTTCTTAATTTGTTCAAGTTTATGGTTCATAGAGAAGTCAGATTTGAATTCTTTTCGTCTTTCCGACGAAAAATCCGACTTTCATTGAACTCAGAATTTCAATTCTTACTTAGCGTAATGACAATTTTACAAGTCCTCATCACTAAATTTGTTGTCCTTCTTTTGTTTTGGATCCTTGGCTGTTAATTTAATGAATATTGTCTTCGTGGAGGTTTAGTTTGCTAGAGCAGGTGAATTTGATCGCACTTTGTCAGAGAGATCAGTGTTTTTGGCTTGGGATGTTTTTGGAAGTTTGTTTACAAAGCTTACTTTTTATCAATATTGCATCTATTTTAAATACTTTTTTAAAAAGGTGTGAGATCCCACATCGGTTGGGGAGGAGAATAAAACATTCTTTGTAAGGGTGTGGAAACCTCTCCCTAGCAGATGCATTTTAAAAACCATGAGGGGAAGCCCAAGGGAAAACTCAAAGAGGACAATATCTGCTAGTAGTGGGCTTGGGCCGTTACAAAAGGGCTTTATAATAAATCACTTATAGTATCTCAAAAGTGCATTTTTGTTTGTCCTTGTATGACTTTTCATTTTCCTCAATGAAACTCCACTCTCTCATAAAACATGTAGAGAAAAAAGTTATTGAGAGGAAGTGTGTGTATAAAGAGACTATTGATAGAATATATATGTGTGGAGAGATTAATGGTGTGTGGAGGGTAACTAGTAAGAGAAAGTATGGCTTGAAAGGATGATGCATGTATTTCTTCAGCATTCTTTTGGCATCCGTTGCTTGAAAGGAATGGGAGACTTTTCAACAACCAAGATAATACCGCCATAACTTCTTAGAGACTTGCTTTTATTGCCCTCACTGGATGGAAATATTATTTTCCTTCAAACAACTATGGTTTAAATACTCCTCTAGCCAAAGTTTTTTGTAATCTCCATTGGCTTTGGGTTTGGCTATCTCTTCTCTCTCTATTTTTCAATTTTATACTCTATGAAATTGTTTCTTATATCTTTGTAGAAGAAAGAGTATACCTGTTGAAAAGTTTGTCATAAGATTTGCTTTGGGTAAGTAAAGAATTTATGTGATTAATTGGTGTAATTGTCAAGGATGAACATTAACTCAGATGCCTTTGAGATCTTTGGTTTATAAGCCTTGGTTGGTCACATCATTGGCTGAGTAGGTCCCATTTGGTTGCAAGGTTACTGTATAAGTAGGTAGTAATGTGGGGGAAGAGGGTGAACCTAGTACGAACAACGAGAAGTTGATGGAAAGGGAGAAGTACTTTTTTGGGTTAAGAGTTTGTTTGGAGACGGGAGTTCTCAGGTTTTCCCTGTGGATTGAACTTCTCTAAACTCTCTTGACTAAGTGAAGGAGGAAACAGAGGAAGTTAAAGTTTTAAAGTAAAATTAACAAATTCTTCTAGAAAACATTTTAAAGTAAGATTAACAAATCTTCTAGAAATTTGAAGTATCAAGTGAGATATTTTTGGGCCTTAATTATTACATCTTCACTTTTATGTGCCTAAATATCTCGTGCACCTTTATCTTGAGGTTAGTGGTGTTTTTTTTTTTTGGGGGGGGGGGGGGGGGG